GGTCTGTGTCCCGGGGTCCCCCCCCCAGCCACTTTTTCCCAAGCCTGTAGCATTCCACGGGGTTCTTGTGACCCAAGTACAGGACCCCACACTTTGCCTTGTTGAATCTGATAGAGTTGGCCTTGACCCATTGATCCAGCCTGTCCAGATCCCTCTGAAAACCCTTCCTACCCTCGAGCAGATCACATTCCCGCCCAACTTGGTGTTGTCTGCAAACTTACTGAGGGTGCAGTCAATCTCCTCATACAGGTCATTGATAAAGATATTAAACAAGACTGGCCCCAAAACTGAGCCCTGGGGAACACCACTTGTGACTGGCTGCCAACTGGATTTAACTCCATTCACTGCAACTCTTTGGGCCTGGCCATCCAGTCAGTTTTTTACCAAGCAAAGAAAATACCCATCCAAGCCATGAGCAGCCAGTTTCTCCAAGAGTATGCTGTGGGAAACAGTGTCAAAGGCTTTGCTAAAGTCTAGGTAGGCAACATTCACAGCCTTTCCTTCATCCACTAAGCAAGTCACCTTGTCATAGAAGGAGATCAGGTTGGTCAAGCAGAACCTGCCTTTCATAAACCCCTGCTGACTGGGCCTGATCACCTGGTTGTCCTGTATGTGCCTTGTGAGTACTCTTAAGATGAACTACTCCATAATCTTGCCTGGTACAATTCCCCAGATCACCCTTCTGTCCCTTCTCGTAGATGGGAGTCACATTTGCTAACCTCCAGTCAACTGGGACCTCTCTGCTTAGTCACAACTGCTGGTAAGTGATTGAAAGTGACTTGGTGAGCACTTCTGCCTTGTGAGTACTCTTAAGATGAACTACTCCATAATCTTGCCTGGTACAATTCCCCAGATCACCCTTCTGTCCCTTCTCGTAGATGGGAGTCACATTTGCTAACCTCCAGTCAACTGGGACCTCTCTGCTTAGTCACAACTGCTGGTAAGTGATTGAAAGTGACTTGGTGAGCACTTCTGCCAGCTCCCTCAGAGCACCCTTGGGTGGATCCTATCTGGACCCATAGACTTTTGTGTGTCTAAGTGGTGTAGCAGGTTGCTAATCATTTTCCCTTGGATTATGGGGGCTTCATTCTGCTCCCCATCCCTGTCTTCCAGCTCAAGGGGCTGGGTACCTAGAGAACAACTAGTCTTGCTATTTAAAGACTGAGGCAAAGAAGGCATTAAGTACCTCAGCCTTTTCCTCATCCTTTGTCATTATGTTTCTGCCCGCATCCAACAGAGGGGTACAAAAAACAGTAAAGCAGAGAAGGGGGTCAGCACAGAGGAGAGAAAAGATGCCTCCATTCACAAGGGGCATTCACAGGAGAGAACGGCAGGCCAGACACACTCCTGTGCCAAGAAGGGCTAATCCAGCATAACATCACTACTGTGCCACATGAACAAGGCTGAGGCACAAGTATGATGCTGAAAACACAGAACTTACTCCTCTTCAGTCCTGCACTGACTTCATCCACATGGGAAAAAGTATAGAGCTGAGAATGAAAAGTCAAAGGTCACACTGAAGGGGCACCAAACCTGAAAAGGCTTCACAGTTTTTGACAACTAGACTGAAAAAAACCTTTTAGCAGAAAAAGTCCTTGCTCACCATACAGATTTCTGTTGCAACCAAGTAACTGAGCCTGTTAAACCATTCCACATAGGCTTCCAGATTCCGGGTCTTCTTTTGATCACTGTAGCAGCTCTGCAGATCGAAGAAAAATAGCAACTTTTAGTGTATTCTTAATATTTTCTCTGAAATAAAACTTTTGGCTTTTTGCCTTGCCATCCCCAAACACTGTCAAGTAACCAGAAATAACTCAATTACGCAAAGTGACAAAAGCTTAGAGTGAAAGCAGCAGTGATAGTATTTGAGCATGTGTAACTTCTTCCTGAGCTCTTGGCTCAGTAAAGCACTCAAGCAGGCATGTGGAATGCATCACCTGCTGTAAGTCCTACCGGGATCCTTTAAGGATTTAGGACAGACTTATGCAAACAATCAAAGCTAAGTATCTGCTTAAAGCTTCCTTGAATATGAGCACTGTTTCAGTCCTCACTCCTGTCCCATTGATATAGTAGAGACATTATGCTCTCTGCAAGCACAGAAGGAAAACAGAGGCCAGCCCACTCCACTGGCACATTATGTTCAGTTGTTGACACCAAATTAACATACTGCATCCTAACTTTGGGAGATCAGCTCTACCATTTTGATTGGATTCTCCCTGTCCTAACCAGTGCTATTTGTTGTGCTGTAGTGCCTTGGAACGATTCCCACACATCTGAGGATTGCCTAAAAAGGCATAGACAGCAGTTTTAGTGATGTCTACCTACAAAATAATTTTCAGAGACTGTGTGACTGAACATCAAACTTGAGTCATTCTATTCTGTTTGTCAGTTTTAGGAAGGACAGTAATTCAAGTTTTAACTGCCTGACTTTGATATAGTTTATTTACAGATCATAAGTCATCTTGAAAGCAGCACTCCAGGAGATGACAACTCTAGCATGGTTGGCTAAAAACACTGCATCTTTTCCCTTCATCTCACATGGATCTAGAGCTTACTGCTCCCTTTTTGTGGTGTGCTCTGCCTGCAAATTGCCCAACTTGCCAGTTTGCTGCAAAGAGTTTACTAAAAGGAAGAACATTGTTGAAAATGAGTAACACAAAAGCCAAAGTTAAACTCAGCTTTTTCCAGCTATAGACCACATAGGTGGCCTGGAGAAAACATTCACAGTTCTCCCTTAGATCAAATCAGAAAAAACAGCAAATGTGTTAATTTAAGTCAATTTGTTGGCTGAGTTCTGGAGCTCCAGGAGTTGCCCTCCAGAAAGAAAAAGCATCAACAATGTTTTAAAGAGGAATACTAAAGCATTTTCACAATAAAGGTCATTTCTGTTGGTGCTCATTTGTTGCTGGAACTCACTTCCAGCTCATGGGGCACCTGAGCTCCAGTATGTGAAATGCTGCTTTTCAGAGCTGCTCCAGATCAGCTCCAATTACCTTGTCATTATCCAAAGGATCCTTTTGCACAAACGCCTGGACAAATTCTTCTGGTCCAATATAATTGAGTCTCTCCTAAATAAAGCACACAAGCAGCCAAGTCATATCCTGTGTTAACCTGCATTTCAAAAAGAGGGGAAGGACTAAATCATACTTGAAGTATAATAACTCACAAGCTCTATGTGTGTCAGCTGCTGAGCTAACACGCAGGGATCATTGCAGACGGTGATTATGTCCTTCTGGATGGACTGGGGCTTGGTCTTTAGAACCATAAGGCGATCTGTGGATGTGGCATTAATTTTTGTGAGTACTTCCTCATACTGGCTAACAGTGGCGAGCTTCCGAATCAGGTTCTGAAGAAGCTGCTGTACGTTCTTCCGATACATCTGTCATGACATGAAACAATCAGGAGACATTTTCAAAATGTGAGAAGATAGTATTAAAGTCTGCATGACACCAAAACAGATTGATGCTGATACCTGTATTTGTTGTCAACTTAGGATATGATCTACTATGTGAGTTTTGAATATTGGCATTTCATCAGACCAAAAGGAATCCAGCAAGAATTTAAACACTGATTGTGTCACAGATTCAACAGTGACCTGGTTAGCTCAAGGAATGGCAGAAAAGTAATGCACAATCTAATTCAGTAAATTCAGTAAATCAAGACCAGTTTTCACTGAATTCAGAGTTAAAACTTGCAGTAAATCTGAGAAAAAGGAGATAATAAAATAGTCTCTCTTTTCTTTCACCTCGCAGGCCTTTCCATGTGACAGTTTAAGTTAACAGGAGTGACAAATTTAAGTAGGAACAAGACTCGATTCTTAAGTAGATACATCTGTGTAAATAACCCCAAGGTGGTTACTCTTTCAAATTCCAGATACCATGCCATTAAAGGAAAACCTAAGCGGCTGAAAAAACGAGCATCATTTTGCTGATAATCCTATATTGGCAGCACAGTATAGTGTGATCAGTCCAAGGCAGGAATGTTTTCTGTATTCTTTCTCATCCCCTCCAAAGCTACCATTTATATGATTTCCAAATTTACTCAAATGCAACAGCACTATCTTGCGTCAGATTCATTCTTGAAGTCAGTTGTGTTCAACTATGGCTGAATTTGTCTTGTTACATGGCAAATAATTGCTTTCTGCTTACATATATTTTGATGTTCTAGACAAATCCACACAGCATAATTTTTACCGGGGTGGGTGGTGAGAGAACAGGGGGATCTCAAGTTTTTAAAGAAAAAGATCTACATTTTCCTCAGGAAGACACAGAAGCATTACTTCAAGTGCTGCACTTCCATAAACAGGTGTTAGGTGACACACATAAAGACTTGCTTCACTGACCCATTTCCTTCCAAATTCTTTGAAATGTAATTCTTTCTCGTGTAAGAGAACTTTATGAAGCATTTCTTGCCCAGCCGGTAATCAACTGAGAATGAAAAAACATCTAAAATACTCAGGATGAATTCTGGTTACTAATGGAAGTCATGTAATAATCAGTGGGTTAAGCTTCAAAGCAAAAAAACAAACCTTGCCTGAATTTGTGGTTCATGTCAACGCAGAACTGACAACAAAATAAGGGTGAAAATGGGTGAAAATACAAAGCTGAACCACCTAATTCTGGTCAATCTGCTTCTGTAGCTGGAAAACCCCAGTGAAATGGCAAACTGGCACAGATATGCTCCAAACCAGAACAAGAAATCAGGGTAATTAGCCCACTTCTAGTCTAACAGCAGTTCAACACAACAAACATCCCTCTGTCCAGTGATGAGGTAAAACCCTCTCGGCACAAAGGCAGAAAGAAATCTCAGTTTTCTCTCACACCTCACAGATGTACCTGAGCCCACAAAGCAAACATCCCTCTGCTCTTTTGAGCCCGTCTCCTCTTGAGCAAAGAGGCAGTGACCTTGAGGCATTCTGTGCAAGGATAAATACGTACTGCACTTTGCACCCATAACAGGTATTTGCTGCTGGACCATTACTTAATCTTATGCATTTTTATAATATCATATATATATATATATTTAACAACACACCAATGAACTCACAGGATATCTTTTATTAATTAGATATTAATTTGATTGTAGTAGGGCTACTACTCAGCCTAAACATATGGTCTTCCTCTAAATTAAGTTTACCCTTTCCATTTATTTATCCCACAGTCTCATTTTTTGTTCTATATTTACACTGACAGTGCCAATATTTATTTATATTTAAAAACCTCTGAGGATTGGACAGTATGGGAGAAAGTGATGGGACACTTCACTTCAAGGTCACCCCTTTGTGTCTGTCCCGTATGGATAGTGACTAGAAGTACTTTACTACATGCTAGATGTGGAATATCATATGTTAAATGTATTTCCACAGTCAATCTCACTATATATCATAGTGGGGGGAAGAGAAGTCAGTGCAATGTTGGGCTGCATATGAAAAGACATCAGGATACAGGATGTGGCTTTGGTGTGACTGCATACACTCATCAATGTTTCACAGAAAAAGCCAGTAATAAATGTTTATATGGAACTAATCAGGAAATGGGAGGCAACGGCTGATGGGAAAGGTTCCAAAAGATATAAATTCAAACAAAGGTCAGTTAAGTGGTAAAAGGGACCAGAACAATCTAGAAATATCTCATGAGCATGATGACATCTCAGGACATAGAGAAGGAAAAAGTGGAAGAAATGGAATTAAAAGGGTCGGCAGAAAATAAACCCACCAAAGCTTTTCCAAAGACCTTTTTTTGATGCAGCAATATGTTAGCATGGTGAATGGTTTTAGTTGGACTCTTACTGCTAGCTCTTAACAGTACTGGAGCACAAGGAGCACAGCACAATGATTCAGGAAGCAGTATAAGAAGCTACAAATAGAAGAGCTGTGGTGAACAGGAATAGGAACCACTGCTTCTTTTGTATGCTTCAAGGTGATGACTCTCACAAATCCAAGCAATCTATAGAAAAGCAAGGTCAAGGAAGTTGCCATTTACTGTTCCAATCAGCACAGAATAACACAAGTCAATTTACTGCACCACTTGCTTTCCCTTTGTCTTACTAAAGGAAGCCTCAAAGTCAAAAAATGCTCAAAGCTAGAAAAGATATACAGCCTGCTGCCAGAGTACGATTGCTCCCTAGTGCTCATTTTCCAGCAGTTGGTATGTCTGCCTTTCCCCTCAATAGATGATGTCACTGTTTAAACTGTCTGTATTGCCAGAAACTTCATTGTACACAACGCTTCACTTGTTGCCATTTCACTTCTGCATCCACCAGCTCAACTTCCCCCACGCTAAACAGCTCGCTCTCTCTTTTTGTGCCAGTGGGTGTGACTACTCAATCTTACTACTTTTCCTTGAACTGAACTTCAGTTCCCTATCTTTCTATTAAGAGTACCCAGAAACAAAGCAACAGTGCAGGAGCACTGTACAGTGAAAGGTGCCACCTGGCACCCCCACAGTGAAGGCAAACCTATTGCCTCTCCACAGTCCAAGGCCCCCTTTAGCTATCTTGCAGCAACTCTAAGCTTGCCCATCAAACTTGGTATCTTTTTAATTTGTATTCCATACTGTATCTCACTCTCTTGTCTCATCTTCTTCTGTCCCTCCCCGCTTTCATAACATCAAAATGTGTTTCAACTTTCAAATTCAGCTTAGGTTTGTTCTCTTCCATCCTTGTTTACAGTCTCTCAAGATCCTTCCAGCCCTTTGGCAGCACTTGCAACTCCTCCCAGTAAAGCTTACCTACACACTTGTTAATATGCCATTTGCTGCCTCGTCCATATAATCATTAAAAAATCATATATAAAGCTTACATAAGGAACACCAGCCTCTGAGGGACACTAGAAACACAATGCCATTTAGCAATTGCTCTTTGCATTTATAGTTCTTCCAAATGCCTTTCCAGTGTCTTTTATAATCTTAGTATTACGCCAGCTACACGTGATCTGCGTATTGAAACCCTGTTAACTGCCTTTCCACTAAGTAAATTTAAGCCTTGGCTTTTGGCTTGAGATTATTTCAGTACTTACAAGACAAGCATCTGTTAAGCATCAAAATATTTCATACTGCCTCTGTCAAACTTCCACCTGAGAACTGGGACTTAGAAAAAGGTCATGTGATTTCCTCGTGTGCTCCATCCAGAGGAAGGAACATGACAGACTTCCTCTGAGTCCATATCTGATGCTTTAAGCTCAAGACAATTCTTCCTGGTCCTGTTTTCTTTTTAGAAACTTTTTCCCAAACTTGCTATAAGTCTTCCACTCACCTACAGATCAGAGGCCCAATCCCAACACATGTTACTTACACAAATTGAAGAAATTATCAATATCAGTAGGGATTTCTCAGATATGCAAGGCTTCCCAGTGCCTTACCCAGCTTCTTCCAAGCAGAATCACTAAAATGAAAAATACTAACACCTACCAAGTTGTGTCTGTCTGCACAATATGCAATTATTGCAATTATGGGTTTAGGGATGGAGTGAACCTTGCCTGTGCTTTGAAAAGGATCTGCTTACGCTGTGTTGTTTCTTCCTAGGCCTAGGTACTGGGCAGAACTTTTTGCCTACCAGCACCTTCATAATAAGTTAGCTTAGCCACCCAGAGCCATGCCATGTTATCAATACAACAAACCTGCAATATCAAAGTATTAAAGCAATGCCTTTTTATCCAGTAACTTTATGCACAGACAACTTACCTCATCACCACTGGATATTCTTTGTGCCAACTCCTTTAAGTTCCTCATCATTCTTTCATCTCGGAAATCATAAGGAAATGTCTCTGTCCATTCAGTCAACAACTGTAGGATTTTGGGTGCAATTTTTCGTATCCAGTTCTATTTAAAAACAGTAAGGAGGAATGTTACCTGTAACAGCAATACAGCACATATCTAACCCAAAGGAAATAGAATTCCCTTCTGTAGGATACTGTGGAGCATAAGGGTGTGAAGGCCAGTTAAATTTTTAAGCTTAATTTAATTCAGCATTGGATTGCAGGCTAGAGCAATACCCACTGAAGCTGATGAAAAGACTCTTATTGTCTTAACTGACCTGGAAATTAGGACCCAGGTAGGTGGAAATCTTAGAATGATTCCCCTCATTATCAGGAGTGTCTCAGTGCAAGACATTTATTAGTATTTCATTATTTATCACTAACTATGAACAGTGCAGCAGCAGCAACAGTCTTCATGGAGTACAGGCTGAGCAGTGTGGAAATTTTCCATGAATGTCAGTAAATAAGGGGTCAAATTCTAGTTGCTTGTATCAGGCTTTCAATCTGTTTAATCCTATTGAGGACTCTCTTGAGTAGGAATATTTTGCTGTGGGCAGGGTAGAGACATTTGACTGGAACTAACAGAGACCTTGAGACTGAGGGATCTTACTTTGTCCAGGCCAGGCTCAATTAGTCTCTGCTGCTCAACGCACAGATGGCAGACTTTGGCCATGAGCTCATATGGATGCATGAACAGGCGTGAACTGAGAAGGAAGGTGAAGATGTATGTCCTCTGCAAACAAGAGGAAGACAGAGAGAGGGATAAATTACCACCACTTTTGTATTTTCTCAAAATGCATTCCTGACAAATTGGTTCCTAATACTTTATTATCTGCAGAAGAAAACTCTGCATGTGGCTGTGCCAAGAGCTATTCCCACAGTAGTAAGCATTTGTCATTGCTTCAGATTCAGCATTATAAATTTGTGTTTAAGCCAAGCTATGCAAGATTTAACCAAGGCAAGGCAAGGCAGGGCTGGTTTAGCTCTCCTGTTGCACACAGCTTTATTATAAACTCAGTACCTGAAAATTTCAACTCACCTTCTCTTGCTCTACAGTAAACCTTTGTGAGAGCCATTTCCAGATTACATAACTCTTTCTAGCCTGACAATGGAACAGAGTTCATGTTGCAAGTTCAAGCTACTTAGAATACCAACAGAAATCTTAACTGCTTCCACAATGCTAGTAAAAGTAAAGTCTTCAGAAAAAGAACAAAAAGAGATGCCAGTTGACCAGATTGTTGAGCTGACTCAATTTCACCACATACGCCATCTTTACTATGCTATGTTTGCCTGTCTGACCTTAGTAAACTGCACATTATGACCTTGTACTTCCTTTAAGAATCCCCAAATACTGTTCGTTTTTCATAGCATTGCTTGTCTCCTGGGTGAAAGGGAACTACATAGCTTAATTTTACAGAATAAAAATTAGTAACTCATGCTAAGGTTACAAGAAGAGGGACTTTATCTTGCTTTAATTTTCCATATACCATGATTTGAACTCATTGTGAGATGCATATTCAAAATATCCACTCCACTCCCCACATCGCCAGTAGTTAAGTATCTATGGCACCCACAAGAAAGATTCTACAATGTTCTGGTTCTAGGGACTTGGAATAAATCATCATGTTTGATCAATTGTTATCTAAATTGCTACATGTTTAAATTTTACATTAAGCATTAATAGATAAGCACTAGCTTAAGCACGGTCATGTGCTGCTGTTAACTCTGACCCAAGTTAAAAAAGATCCTGTCTTGGAAATGTGAATAGATCTATGACAATAACAGAGGCTGAATATAACAGGAATTATGTCTTCAGCAGG